TGGGTTTTTCTATGAAACTCAAGGGATGCTGGTTGCGTCATCAGGAAAGGGAGGTCCAGATTGGCTGGAGCTCACTGGTCACAAGCAACAGAAAAACCTAGTGCAGCTAACACAGCATGAAAGGAGCTATTGGAAAGACGCAGGGCTACCTTCAGACAGGTGGGGAAGCGGCCCCAGGCTCAGAAAGGAGAGGTGCATGAGCCCAGGGGCCCGGGGGTGCAGCTGAGCAGACAGGCAGGATGGTGCCACCTGGCACAGAGCAGATCTGAGCACTTTCTGACCTTCAGTTGCTTTCTACTCACTTGTCTTGGGAGAGACAGGGTCCAATTGCCCAGCTTGGGTCACTGGATGAGTCCCCAGGCAGGGGAATTCTCTGCACGTTGATTGACAGACAGCCTCGCCAAGACCTCACGCAGGATGGAGGGGTGATTCCCAACAGCAAAGAGAAGAGACTGGATTTCCAGAGACAAAAATGGCCAAAGTTGACTCCACAGTTGAACGCTAGCGAAGTGCGGGCTTTTAAGTGGTTTGAGAGGGAACTTCTATCTGCGAGCTGTTTGGCCCTTATTTCCTTGCCTTTGTGCACAGCAGGCCCCCTAGATTTGGGTGGAAGTGAATGGGTGCTTTTGTGGGCTGCTGAATTCAGCCCCTTCTGATAGTGACTCCGTCTTGCCTTGCTTCAGACCAAAATTCTTAGCTAGCTGTTCTTTCTGGTTAAGGTTACAAAGGTAGTCCCCGAAGGTGATCTACACGCCCTAGCCCAAGAAGGTGTTGCTAAGCTCAAAGAGCAGGTGAGTGGTGCCTGCCAAGGAAGGAATTCTTAAAGTCTGAGAGCGAGCCCTAGTTAGGAAGTGCTCTGGGGTCTGGAAGTTGTGACCCTGGGGGATGTTGGGAGGTGGTGACTGATGACGATGGTGCCTGACAGCTGGGGCTGCTCCTGCCTGTCTGCCCTTGGGAAACGGGCCCCAGGGCTGGTCAGCAGAGTCCTGCCTTCCATCCAGCATGTTCTCTGGGTCCAAAGGAAGCACTAGCCTTGTGTCCCATTTGAGACTGAAGGAAGTAGATGGCCAGGTTGACATTCTGATGTGGGGATGTTCTGTTGGTTGGAGAGATGCTGAGTCAGCACTTGGGCTTTTGAAAGTGGGAAGGAAAGGAAAGTAGAAAATAGCACCAAGAGCTAATTTTGTCACTGTGTCATATGACTTGTCTGGTGTCACCATATGGGACAAGCCACTAGACCAGGGATGGTAAACTCAGGTGCCTGTGAAGGACCAGACAGGTAAGAATATTGAGCAGAAAAGGACAGGTGTAGAACTACCGGGAGTGGTGGGGACTTGGGTGAAATGGAGTGGTAATGAGCAGCGACTTCGTGAGTGCCAGATGGTTGCTGAGTGTTGGAGTGCGGGGTGGCGTTAGCATAACTTCAAGTTATTCGAGGGAGGCTGGAAGTCAGAGTGTTTCTGTGAAGTTTTCAGATGATAAACCCCATCTGCTGATTGAATGAAACCCGCAAGACGCCAACTGGCTGGCCTTTGTACCGAACTAAAACTGTGTGTCTCCAAGGCCACTGGTCCGTCTTGTTCAAGGATGTGTTCACTCAGGGTCTAGCCCAGTGCTTACTCATCACAGCACACTCAGCAGGCATTTGTTGAGTGCTATTCAGTGTGTGTGTGTGTGTGTGTGTGTGTGTGTGTAACAGAGAAATTGGTTTTTTGAGGAAGTGACAGTTTGATAAATTTTCCCGAGATTTTAGAATTTGACCAGCGAAGCTCCTTTTCCTACCTTTGTGAATGTCTGTGCCTCGCTTTTAAAAAGTTCCAGTGTGGAAGCAGGTTTCCTGATCAGAAAGATGGAGATCGTTAATTCATTTATGAAAAGGCAACACTGAATTTAAAATCAGAATCTTAAAAAAGAAGAAGAAGAAGTCACCTTTCCTTATTTCAAAACTTCTTGTAGAGAGAAATAACATGCTTCCAGTATAATGCTACAGATGAAGAATGACTATGGGAGATTTGGAAGGTTAATGTTTAATAACGTTTATATGTGACATTTGGGGGAAAGTGGCAAATAAGGAGTGATAAATAAGGCCCTGACATCACTGTCACCAAGCAAATAATGAATGTTCTGACTATGTACGTCAAGGGACAATTTATCAGGCAGAGACACAACACTAGACATTACGTTTGCAGGTATGCTGGAGGGGTGTTTTGTTTGGTCTAAGAGCATCTGGATCGATCTCCTTTGCTTGTCTTTTATGGGGAGCTCTGAGTTAAAACTGAAACATGAATAGGGGGAGAAGCTGCCTGCCGTGATTAGGGATTGTGTTCTCTGAACCCCATAGGCTACAATAATTGAGCCAAGAGTGTGCTAGGCAAAGGTTCTTGGCTGATTTCTCTGACTTTTGATGGTTCTACCATTAAGTCTTTCCAAGTCACCATTCAAAAAGCACCAGTCATCAAAGGGCGCCCCCCACAGATGAACTACGAGTGCTTATTAGACAGGCCATGTGCAATGATGGACCAGCCGAAAGGGAGCATGGCAAAGAATGGCATGGCTGAGCCAAATGGCACTCCAAGTCTTTATGACTCTCACTCCTCTTTATTGCTTAGTCACACATCTCAAATGCAGGCCCGGTAGAAGAGATTTTTCTGCCTGATACAACTGACTGGAACAAGAGTAGCCAACATCACCTTACTGCTGACTCTTGGTCAGGATTTTCTGGGCAGTGCCCTGTCCCATCCAATCTGTCTGACAGCCCTTCTGAGGATCAGGAAGCTGTGGAGAGGGCGGAGTCACCGTTATGTAACTGCTTTACAACATAACGATGGAATTACCAGATAACCCTTCTCTGCACTCTGTGTACCTTGCACATTTCTGCCTGTACGGACTGGTAACGTTTCCTTTCCCTGCCTTCGTACCCCACTAGCATATATATGCATTATATATAGTGAACGCTTGGCTAATGTTGGAATTCTTTGTGATAGAATTTTGTGGTCATTGAACTTTTTAGGTTGAAAAGGATCCAGAGTTGTTGGACTATATTGTCTCACAATTAACTACCAGCTGCTCAGTCAGTGGTGTCTGTCCAACCTTGTGCTGAGTTCACAGCAGAGACAAAGAGGAGCTGGTGACCCACCCCTAGAGCTGGTCAAGAAATCCCCCCACCCTGGGCCCTGTGGCCAGAGGGCTGCCTCTACCCCTCTTATGGCCATAGCTGCAACCCCACTGCAAGGAGTCTCTGGGACTGAAAGCTATGGACTGGGCTCTGTATTCAGGATCCGGAAACCTCTTACCCAGACATCCCCAGGCCCACTTCCAGGGGAAGTGACACCCAGGGACAGTACAGGGGCCTGGGGACATATCCTGAGACCTACAGGGTGGCCAAGGGGCGGCTGCTTGCAGGATGAGGGGTAGCTGGAGCTTGCGGGTGCATCCATATGGGAGTAGATAAGCCGCTCCCACAACCTTGGTGTGAGATGGAACAGGGTGAAAGAAAATGTGCTGAATCTCTTTGGGCTGCCATGTTTCACATGGAACTCCGAGGACCCTCAGCATTCAAGATTTCAAGGTGTTTTGAAGCCATATTTGTTCAGCTCAAGGATAGAACTGTCTCACCGAAGGGTTTATCAGATTGTATTATAGCCTGTCAATTTCTGCCTGCGGGAGGTGGGCTCCTTGGGACCTGGAACTTCCCTTAGGGACGGCCCAGGTCAGCCAGCAGAGTGCACAGGTCCAACCCCTGGGCTGCAGGAGAGCGGGGTCCTCTGCCTCCGCCCTGTGAGAAAGGAAGGGGCCCTCCCCCTCTGTAAACATTCCTGGAAAATCACGAAGTCTCATTTGCATGCTAGATCTTTGCACCGCGCTTCTGGTAAGTCGCTTAGCACATCTCCATGAACAGATACCTCGTGGCTTCGGTTCCTTACTTCAGACCCTTCGATTTTCCATTTTTCGCTGAGGCTGAGGGGTCCCCTGCACAGAAACGCAAGGTCGGCTGACAGCAGTTCCGGAGCGGCAGGTCTCGCTGTTGATGGGAGAAGGGGAGCCTTATTGTTCCTCGTGTGTGGTTTTCGCCAAGAGATGGGGGCCTGGGCTTCACGTCAACACTTGGAGATTGAATGCAGCCCCAGGACTGGGAGAATTTACCCTCGGCCAAGCCTTGCTTCACCACAGTGTCTGCATTGTTCGCCTACCCCACCCACCCCCACTCCTGAGGGAAAGTGGCGTCTTTAGCAAAGGTGACGTGCAGAACAGGACTGGACCCCGCTGGCTTTGCCAGTTGGGGAGCCCCGAGGGCTGCACACCGGGCCCACCTTCCCTCAGGGGAATGCCCCCAGTCTGGTGACATATTGAGTTGATACTCGGGGACACGACTCGGCTCCAGCCCAGCAGGGAGGGAGTTCCATCCAGGCACCGGGCCACCCCCCGCTTCTCCCTCACCACCCCAACGAGGCCCCATGCTGTGTGTTTCAGATTAAAATAAATTCATGGATTTTATTTCGACCATGTAGAGAGGCTACTGGAACCCCCTTTGAGGTGGGTGACTTGGTGATGCTCCATGGGGCTCCCCGAAACCTAGGTGGTTAACTTGGGGCCTGGCAGGAAAACCGAGACTTACTGGAGAAGTGACTTTTAGCCACATAAGTTTCCTCGACTCATTAGTGATTTATCCCCCGGATTCTGTGTAGTAACACTGGTGAGTTAAGCGTATGCTTTTCTCCCTGTTCGGGACAGTGACGGCTTGGGTGCACCTGGGCATAAAAAATGATGGACACGTTGATTGTTCTGAATGATGCCGTCCCCCTCCTCCCAGGTCCCCCGGGAGCCTGGCTGCTGGGAGGGAGCAGACACTGCCTGCCCTAGCTCCTAGTTCTGCCAGGTCCTCTCTCCCTTCCACCGCCGTGGCCCCAGCACACTTCCTGGGGGTGGCACATCGCTGCCCTCAGGGCTCACGCCTGTGTGCCTGTCCAGCTGCGGTCCTGACGCTGCTTTGTGCCTCGCAGACAAACTGTGCCCTATGGACTGTCCGGCTACAGAGGAAGGGTCCGCAGCAGGAGGTCCGCATGGCCATTTCCACGGAGCCCACGGCCCTCGGAGTGGACACAGCGCTGCGCTTGTGCAGCGAGCCACGACCTGGCCTGCACGCACTTCTGCACCCAGACCCTGGCCATCAGCAGGTATGACCCCTGTCTGGGTTGTCACATCCGGGTGTCAGCTGTCCTGGGGCAGACAAGACTGGGAGTGTCTGGGAGGCGGTGTGGTGCAGCGGGTGGCTGTGCCTGATCCTGGTGCTCCTGAGTCTGGGGAAGACAGGGGACCCAGAGCAGAGGGGAGGGGGGCTCTCAGCTCTCGGAGGGTGCCCCCTTCCCCTTGCAGAGCAGAGCCCACAACACGGCCGTGGCCATGCCTGGTCTCTAGACATATTCCTTCTGGGCTGTACGGTGCCAAAAGCTCAATGAGTTGCCTTTACAAATTGAACGGTTACCACTCTTCCCTGTCCCAAATGCATATTTTTAGCATCTTCAAAAATGGCAAATGGGGCCATCTGGTCTCACAGACCTCACATTCCCCCCTGGCCGGGGTGGGCCGGCACAGAGTGGGGGCCACTCCCGTCTGAGGGGCCCACAGTGTCCGTTCGCCTGTGTCACCCAATCGTCTCACTGTGGCCCCAGAGCCCCCGAGGCTGACACCCTGCCGTTCGTTGTAGTCGCTGGTGGGGAGTGTGTGAGGCACTGTGTGGACTCGAACCGGTGAGCGGTCCAGGTTTGGCCGGTAGTGGCCGGTGCAGGAAGGCAGACGAAGTTGGTTTCCACTGAAGTGGGTTTCACTTTGCGCCAAGCTCACCAACCGGCAGGTGGATGGAAACCCCTTCCAGGCAGCGGTGGCGGGATGGGGTCTGTAGGTGCTGCCCACACACAGGAATCGCGAGGAAGGTGAGCACGCTGTGCGGTGGGGGCCCCGGGGGTCAGATGCGCTGTCGGGAGACCCCCGTGCCCCCTGCAGTTTTCATCTGGGCTCCTTCACGTCTCACGAATATTCAGGAGCGAGCAGAAACCCACCCAGGGTGGGGCGGGATGTGCCGTGGGAGTCCACGCTGCTGGGGAAGAGGAAGTCATCGCTGACGCCGGGAAACCAGCCTCCAGGAAGTGCAGGTTGCGTCCTTGAACCCTGTCTGTCCCCGCAGGAGCTCGGGGGCTGCAGAAACACGGGACCTGGAAGGGGCGGTGCCAGTCCGAGGGCCGGGCAGAGGCCCGCGTGCGAGGAGGTGAGGCTGTGTTCTGGGAAGTCTCATGCTCGGGCGGCGTATGTGTGGTGGCCTCTGGCCTGAGAGGCGGCCAGGGGGAACCCCACTGTGCAGGGAGGGCCACAGGGAGGGCCACCAGGAGGGCAGGGGTGCCTCTGGTTAGTGGCCTCTGGGAACAGAGCAGGCCGCCCTGGACCTTAGAGGCTGAGGCCCTGGGGCGTTAGCACACTGGTGTCCAGCCCTGGGCCCCCCGGGCCAGGAAGAGACAAGCTGGCCACTGCTGCTCGGAGCCCCCGCGGGCAGGACTCCAGTGATGATCGGTCGTTACTGCAGAAAAAAACACCAGACATTCATTCCTTTCCGGCCGCTGTCTCTGGACAGAGGTGAAGTCCAGCGGCCCCCCGAATTCGTTTTGTTATTTTTTTTTACCTGTTTGTCTTTTTTGAATGAGGTCCCCAGGGTTTCCCGCAGCCACACTGGATGTATTTGTCATTCTGTCAATCAGGATTCATTGTTAATGGCCCGCCTACACAGCCGCCATGGGGTGGTAATTTATGTTCATAAGGATAAGCCTGGAGGTGGTGGCCCCGGTTCCCCCAGGGGCTGATCAAGGGGAGATTAAATCATACTCAGCATCCCGAAGGCTTCCCAGATTGGTGGCAGATCGCTCCTAGTCGTCTGGAGAGGGATCTGTCGGCATCTATAATAAAAATGGAGAGGGAGGAGGCGGGCCCAGGTGGCCGAGAAAGGTCCCTGGGGAGCATGAGTCAGGCCCCAGCTGGTCCCCTCTTGGCCCCTTTATTCCTTTTCCTCCTTCTCTCTTCCTCACCCCACACCCAAACTCCCCCTCAGCTGGGGGGGGGACAGGATTAAAACCATCCATCCATCACATCAGTTATTCATTGCCTCATGCGTTGGGTCAGTACCTGCGGCACACCGGGCACTGTCCTTGATGGCGGGGGGCACAGCAGAGAAGGAGGCAAAGATTCTGCCTTCGTGGAGCTTGAGTGGTGTGGGAAGTAGGCCGGGGATGGAATGTGTGGGGGCTGGGAGGACAGGGGCATGAGCGTGAAGACCTGAAGGAAGAGGGGGGTGAGCCAGAGGGATGAGGAAAGAAAGGGAAGTTCGGGCAGGGGAACGGGAAGTGCAAAGGCCCTGGGGTCGGAATGTGTGGGTAATAAAGGAGGACAGGGGCATAGAGGGCCTTGCCTTTGCTATTTTGCTGTTGTTCTGCCGAACGTTTAGACGATGAGGATGGGGGCGCAGGGTTCCCCCTGGGACCTGGGGAGCCCCTGTGAGAAGCCGTACTCGGGCAGTCTTTCCTTATCAGCCATGGCCCCTACCTACCTGTGAGACTCAGGGTTAGTGGTCCCCAGATCCGAGCTGTCAGAGTGGAAGCTGCCACCATCCCAGCTCCTGATAATCAGAGAGCTCCTGGCAGCTGCCCCTGCTGATTTTACCTTCACACCCTCCCAGGTGCACGGCAGGCGTGGAAATTTCAGAGAAGCCTTAGCGAGGGGGTTTGGTTGGACATGCAGAAGGGACTAGGCGTGGGGCGGGGAGGAGGTGCCTTTTTCAGCCAGTAAGGAGCTCTTCTGTAACGCTCTCGGTCTTTCTTCCGCCCCTCTCTCCAAGGTAGGTTGAAATCCGGGACAGACAGCTCGAGTCACCTCTAGACCTCCACCACCGAAGGCTGGCCCAGAAGGGGACCCCGCCTCCGTCTGCCACTCCGCCCACCGCCTGGGGGCTTCTGGGAGAACAGGCCTGCCGCCCTGCCCAAGAAGGCCTCTGCTCTTGGTCCTGCTCCTCACGTGTCCACCTCTCGGAGGACAAAGGATGAGTTCTGCCTGGGGGAGGAACCCTACCCCCAGGGTCCTCACCTAACAACACACCCCCGCCCCAAGAATGCCCCATCCCGATGGCCCAAGGTTCCCTAACGGGGACAGTGACCCCAGATGTGCCCTGGGGCCTGACCCCCTTGGCTTGGCTTTCAGGCAGGAGGCTGGTCTAGGAGAGGTACGGCACTTTGGGAAAGCTACTTGCCGGCTTTGGACTCGCCTCTTCTTGGAGAGGCTGCGAACTCCAAGCGAGCCCCGCAGCCATAAACACGTGGCCCTGCCGTAGCTGCCGCTCGGGCCCTGGCGTAGAGGAGGGCAGGCGGCAGTGCTGGGGCCAGGCAGCCGGCGGTTGTGGGGGACATCGTGAGTTGGAGGCTTCTAGGATTTAGACAGAAGTGTTCAGCTGTGTTTGGTACCCACCAAAAGAATGTATCTCAAAGGGGGAAAAAAAAAGCAAGAAGGAAAAGGAAAGCAAAACCTTCACGTTTGTGAGAACAGAGAGCACGAGTAGAGATGGGGTTTGAACTTGAGCCGACCAACGCCGCCCACCACGGCCCGTTGGCAGGCAGCCTCGGGACAGGCAGCCCCAGCTGAAGGCCAGCCTGGATCTGTTTTCACGAACGATACGCCGCAAACGCAAACTCTTTGTAAATTATGTAAATTTCTATTTATCTGGGTAATTGGGAGCGACCACCGGGGACCGCGACCCCTGCCGAGCCCCGGGTTCCCATCGCAGGTGGTTGCACCTTGCCAGCCTTGACCACGTCCGAGTCCGGGATGTGGGTGTGAGGTCACCGTGGGGGACAGGCCACCTGCCTCCACCACAGCAGACGTGAGGACCGGCTTTGGGGCTGTGCGGAGGTCATGGCAGGGGGAAATTTAAGGTGGCGAATGGCAGGGCTCTGGCCATGACCGGGTGTTCTGTTCTCTGAGTTCCTCCTCAGTGACTGCAGGTACCAACTCGAGTGTCCCGAACCAACCCCGAAACCGGAGGGACCGGCTGGCTGCCCGGCTCCTGTAGCGTTTAGAGGGGCCATTATTTATTGTGCAACTGTTCTCTACTCCGGCGGCTTTGCGAGGCTCTGCTAACCAGTCCAGCTGCACTAGGTAGAGAGAGTTTAAACCGTGCTCCGAATCCAAGCTCATATTCCTTAGAGTTCAAATGACTTTTGTAAGGCACATACTCATTGTCTGGCTTGGTGGCAACACACTTGGTGCGAGAAACCCGTGCATTGTGCCGATACTCACAAAATACTGCCACGCACATAATAAAAAAGCTCAGCGTTTGCTCTGCTTTGTGGTCTTTCTCGCTGGTTATGCATTGACTTTTCCTGGAGAGGGCAAAGGGTGTCACTGTTGAGGAAGCAGGCTCTATCAGAGTCCATTTTGGAGCTAGGCTCGACTTAAGGAAGGAGAGGGATTCGGGGACCATCCGAGGGAGACAGGGCCTTCAAGGCCGTCGGGACAAGGAGGTAAGTAACTGTGGGGAGAGTGGGCCGCTGCTCCTGGCGCCATTCTGCTCACCTCCAGGAACAGAACTTCCTCTTCTGGCCACATGGGCCACAGAGGTTCAGGAACAGGTTCCAGGGACAGAGTGGCCATGGCCAGCAACAGAGCTTGACCTCCTCTGCTTTCCAATGGGCATTTTGTGTCACTTCACTGCTCACGGTTCTTGAGAATTAGTAGCTGGAAGTGACCCCATTTTGTTTGCTCTTGTCGACCAGCTGCAATGGCCGGGAGCCTTGGAGACTTGGAAGGCATCTCTGGGTGTTGGGGGTGTCGGGAAAGAGGTGGTTTTTCTTCATTTCTGCCCATTTGTCCCTCCCTCCCTCCCTCCCTTTCTCTTTCTCTCTTTCTCCTTTCTTTTGAGTCAAGAACTGGGGACCCTTAGAGGCGGGGAATTGGACCCAGAGACCCAGCTAACGAGCAAAGCGGAATCCAGTATTCTGAGTGGGTTTCATCACATTGAACTTGAGAAAACCCAAGAGCCTCCTGTTGTAATTGAACTCATTTTAGAGGATTCCGACTTTGATGAACTGATAGAGCTGGGGACCGGTTCGTTCTCAGTACGTGCTGTGTCTCTGGAGGAGCTGCCGGTGTTCACAGGAGGGAGGCCCATCGGGGCCTGGAATCCCCCAGCCCCCAGCCGCTGCGGACCGGGAGGCCCAGGGGCAGCAGCCCCCAGAGTGAGCCCCAGAGGGGGCGTTGTCTCTGGGATCTGGGTGGGGTCCAGGAGGCAAGTCTGTGGAGTTCTGGGCAGGACCTGGGACCGGATTTGCAGGGCTCCTGGTTCTACAATATTGAGAATGTCACGATGCAACAATAGGGCATTAAACCAAACACAGGCCCTGCGGGGCCTGAGACCGCCCACCCGCCCAGCTGGCAGGACTGTGAGCCCCGGCAGACGGGGCTGATGAGTCTGGAGACCTGGCTTTGCTGCCAAACCCCCGAGGGGGACCAGCCCCAAACGGAGCCTCAGTTTCTTCCTCGACAAAACGGGTGTGATGAGACCAGCTGCATCCTGAGATCAGATCAGAGGAAACCATGGTTTGCAGCCTACATTTCTAAGTCCCGAACTCCCTCCCTCAAGGTATAAGATACAGTCTTCAAGTCTTCAAAGTTCGCCTTGAACTAGTCATTAACTCCTATTTTTATCAGAAGTTTCTCACGGAAGCACATCTTTGAACTTAGAGTGTTCCTTAAAGTAATAGAATTTGATTTATAGAAATTGTCAGGGTAATTACTTTGTCTCCCTCCCGGAAGACATGTATTCTCTAAATCCCAAAGTTCTTTTATATGAATCTTAAAGTATCTCGGTTCTTAAGCGAAATCAAGTTACCTGTTATTCAGACCATTAGAGGCCCACGGGGGTCCTTCCGGCACTGAATATGCAATTTCTCTTTTCTTTGCTGGCAGGAGTGCTCGCAATTGTCGAGATCGGAGGGGTTTTTAGGGCAGGGAAATTGTGAGAAGGAGTCACTGTCAGGGACCAGAATGAATGAAGGCCACCGCCCTCTGCCAGCCACGGCTCATTCATCCCCCAGAACAATGCAGCGCAAGTGACAAGCGGTGGGGGCAGAAATGGGAGAGGCAGAGGCATCAACGATTCATGTCAGAGAGAAGGAGTCTCATGGGATGGGGAGGTGTCTAACGAACATGAACTTGACGCCTCCACTCTCTTCCTTCCTCTTCCCCTTTTCCTTTCCTCCCCTTCCCCGTTTTCCTCCTCCACGAAGCTACTTTGTGTCAATTCCCATTGATTTGCATGACAGTCAGCGGGGGTGGGTGCGGGCTGCGTTCTGTAAGGCATTCAGACCTTTCTCAAAGGCTTCTGCATTGCTTGAAGGGCGCTTCCCTTGGTACCTTACCGTCTCCACTTCCTCCTCCACTGCGGAGACTCTGGGACAGATACCCCTTTTTTAATCCTGGTGTCGACTGTCCACCGGCCCCCCACAGAGGGTGCAGGTGGTACTCTTAGGCGATTGAAAGTTGAAACTACAAGGACATCGCACACAGGGAAGTCTGGCCCCCCTCCTTGGCCCTGACCCCGAGCTCCAGGTGGCCATCTTCACGGCTCTCTGGTCCGCCCCTTCTCTGCCCCACAGTGAAAACACGGGCAGACATGAACCCGTGGCTCTGCTTCTCTGTACACATTGCACAGAAGTCAGCACCCAACAAACACCTTGGGATATCCCCCCTCCCATAACCCCTTTTTAACCAAACGTGTCGTTTTTTTCCCCTCAAACAACCGAAGTGCGTCATTTTCCTCCACCACTTCCCCAACTCTGTGACACCAGCTGGGGGTCCGACAATTCAATTGGATTCTGACCCTCTGTCCGGAGTGGGCATCAGACCCCAGGAGGTAAGGGCTCAGGCCCCCTGGGCTGCTGCCACCGTGGACACCATCACAAGCAGTGTGTCCCAGTGACACACGCCTGCCCACCTGACTGAAGATTGAGCGGCTCGCACACCTCTGCCCCCTCTGGGCTTCACTCACAGACCCCGGGGACCTTCTCTGCCTAGGATGGCAGCTTTGCTATAATGGATGGGACACAGAGGGCAGGTGACCGAGGGAGGGGCGTCCGGGGCACAGGCAGACTCCTCAGCAGGTCTGGGTACTCACCAGTCCAGAAATTCCCAGGCCCTGTTATAGTTTGTTTTTGAATCAAGGTGTCATCATTGACTAAACCACTGGCTGCTGGTGATTGAACTCAGTCTCCAGCCCCTCTCCCCTCCTTGGAGGTCAAAGCCAGGGACTCTGGGTGTTCCAACCGTTTCACCATGGCTTGGTCTTTCTGGCATCAGCCCCCATCCTGAAGATACATAGGGGCCCGACCGCATCATCACATCAGCACACAAAAGACTGATTCCGGGAGGTTTGGGGTGCCCTGTACCAGGAACTGCGGACAAAGACCCGATATGGATTTTTTATTAAAACAGAAACCCACACTTCTGGTCTTGGTTTTTTGCTTAATAGAGAAGATGAGTATAACATGGTTCACTCAGCTGGTCCCCACCGATGGCCAATTGGGTTGCTGTCAATACCTCGTTATGACAAATAACATGATGAATAACCTCATAATTGTCACCTCACATGCATGTGGGTCTATCTGTGGAACAGATTCCCAGTGAGACTGCTGGGTTAAAGGGTCAATAGTTGCGTTTTTTTGGTAGATATTGTCGGATTCGAGGGATGTAATCTGTTATCTCCATCTGCAGACAAGTAACCTATGTGAGGCTCAAAAGAGGAAGTAGTTTCCCCAAAGCGACACAGCTAATAAGGAGGTAGGAAAGGTCACAGCTCCTCGAGGAGACAGGGATAGGGGACAGTAAGGTAAGGACGCTCTGCGAGTCGGATGTTATGACAGACAGAAATGGGGTGAGGGCTGGTGTGGAGGGGGGTGGGGGCCCCGGAACACCCTCCTTGTTCCTGGAGGCGACTGGCTCCTTGTTGGGATGTTGACAACACCAGGAAGGAGCCATGAGACCGACACGTAGGTTTCTTCTTGCTCCCTGTTGAGGGAAGGCCCTCCCGGGGTTTGCTGGTTTGGGGCAACAGCTCTCATCTCATAAAAATAGCCTTTGCAACTTTCTACTGAGACCAGAATCTTCTCCTCATTGAGAATGAAGCGGACCAGGTCCAGATGTGTTCATGCTGGGCACTCGGGGGAGTCTTGGAAACCTGTTCTCCGAAAACTTGGTCCCCCACCCCGTGTAGACCTCTGTGGCAAAGTTAATCTCGCAGGACCCCGCTGCTCTGGTCAGAGCTGATTGGACCAGGGCTGGATGGTGAGCAAGCTGTCACCAGGAGTCAGAAGTGGACGGTCAGAGTGAGCTGCCCGGATGGCGAGTTGAGGGAGCTGGAGGTGACAAAGATTAGGGTGGGGTGAGGGGGGACTCTCCTGTCTTGTATGTGGAACATGGAGGAGTACGGTGCTGCACACAGGGACAAAGAAGCGACACCCCTAGAAGAGAGACAAGACAGCAGGGAGCCCGGTTTAGGGGGCGTTTTTTCTCTGGTCTAACTTCCGAGGGCTGGCTTGCTTTACATGTGGATTTCATGCAATAATGCATTTTCCTCTCCAATAATGCCAAATCCCCCCAGTTCCTGAAGCTCATGTAATGGGGTAAAAATTCTCATGTGAACGCCCTTCTCTAACTTACCAAAGAGAATCCAGTGATTACCAGGTTTTGTTGCTTCGAGTCCAAGGAGAACGGGAGAGCTTTGTCCTCAGCTGCTCCTTTGCAAGTCCTGGCTCTGCTGTGATTGGGCCAGCCTGGGTCACATGTACATCCGTGAGCCAATCACAGGGCCAGGAGGATACAGGGCAAGCTTGGGCCTGGGCTCTGAGGCCCCCTCAGCTCTCGGGCTGAAAGAAGTTTCCATGCTCTTCCCAGAAGAAGGGAAACATGGATGATGGGCAGCTAAACCCACAGGGGCCAATTGCAGGTGCCTAGTAACCCAAGGCCCTTGATTGACACATCATACCTGTCTTCAATGAAGGGACTTAAATGCTTCTTCCAAGAGAAACCGTGGTTTCCATCCATCTCCAGCCTGTCAATCTGAGACGCACCTTGACAGGCTTACCCAGAGGCGTCCTGTCAGACGCATGTCTCCCCAGCATCGCACGTAGAGACGACCGGGCGACGTGTCATTTCTCTCCGTGCCCTGCGGCCCAGGGCACAGTCCAACCTCATATGGAGGCGAAAATACGCCTTCTTTTAAAGACTGTCTTCTTGGAGACCACCTCCCACATCGCAACACTAAGTCTGAGGCCAGCGAGTGGGTGCGA